CCTCACCCGCGGACACCACGTGGGCCCACGTGGCTCGGGTGTTTGTTGGCTGTGGTCCGGAGCTCTGACTGCGGGGCAAGCCCCGCGCCCCTTGGCTCTAACCCACCCCTCTCTTCCCTAGGAGGCTACTCGTCACAGTCCAACTACAACTCCCCCGGGTCCGGCCAGAATTACAGCGGCCCTCCCAGCTCCTACCAGTCCTCACAGGGCGGCTACGGCAGAAACGCAGACCACAGCATGAACTACCAGTATAGATAAAGCCCCCCGAGGGGTGAAGATTTGTACCTTCTGCACTTCCCCCTCGTCGTAAGATTCAGTTTTATGCATCACAGTTAACATGTCAGCTGGCCCCTCCAGGCCCCCTCGCCCCAACCTGTCCACATTGCTGTGTTGTGCGGTGCAGCTGGTCACTCCCGTGACCCGTCCTGTGACCCTTATTTAGCTGTGTTTGGGACTTCCGTGTCTTCGATGGTTTGTTAGTTGCCATTACAACTTTGTCTGAGTAGAGTTTGAGTTCTTACAGTTAAGTATCCCTCTGTCTATTTACAATTGGTGTTAGCGTTAACTCAGTTTGTCTTTAAATAGCTCCAGAAGGGATACATCATCTGTTAATGCTTTTGTGAAGTGAGTTAAACGAGCTTTCTGTATTTTAATGCTTTAGTGTTTCAGTTTTATAAGTGAAGATTTTATTTTAAAAACCAGTGGGAAAGAGTGGGGTTTTTTTTGTATGTCTGGATCATTCAGGCAGTACATCTGAATTAAGCTGAATGTAGACAAATAAAAGAAAAAGAAAACTCTGCGCCCGTCGTAGGCCTGGGTGTCTGACCCACCAGCAGTGTGATGGGCAGGTTCCCCCACTGTTCCCAGCATGGGAATGCGGGGCGGGGGTGGCAGGACAGCCCCTCGTCACCCAAGGGTCCAGTTCCAGGCTTCTCGATGCCTTCACTCCAAGGTTGGCCAGGGCCAGCAAGCCGGTAACACGGGATCTTGTTTTGTCAATGTCCCGGGGGGCTCCAGGTGGTCTGCAGAGTGGCCTACGCTCCTGTTAGGGGTTTGCTCCCACAAGTCAGCATGCTTGCTTTCTTGCCCTGTGAATTCTGGCGTAGCTTTAAGTACAGTTTCATGTCACTGTGGAGTGGAACCTACGTAGGTTTGGTACGTGTAACCCAACTTGCAAAAGGCCAGTTGAATCTGGCTAAAGCACCCCAAGATCTGGGAAGCCCAGCCTGGAACCTTCTCTGTCTGGGTGGTGTGGTTTTGTGTCCCCAACAGCTGCAGCCTCGTGGTGCTGCCCCCGGCCCAGAGGTTCCGAGTGTGCAGGCAGGGTTCTTTCTAGCCACCCAGCCCTGTTCTAACAGGTTTCCCTGGAGTGGTGCGTCTCAATCACAGGCAGTTTTGCATTGGGGGACGTTTGTCACCTAGTGGGCGGGGGCCAAGGATGCTACTGACCGCTCTGCTTAAGTGTCAGCCACGTGGAGGTGGAGAGACCTGCCCTGAGAGCAGCCCTTTCCTACTCTGGCCCTGCCCCAGGGGGTGGGCGGGGGCGGCGCTGTCCTTGCCTTTGCCCAGGCTTCGACTCTGTCTGGGAAGAGCCTCTCCAGTGAGTCTGGGCTGCACGTCTGCAGGGACCCTTCTCCTCTTCCCATCTCTCTGCTATCCCTCAGACCAGGCATCGTTCGAATTCTGAACTGCAGGCAGTCCTTGGCCTCCTGTGCTTGATGAACCATAGCCTTGGGGAGAAAAGCAAACCATTCTCGATTCAGAACTCCTCAGCTGAGGCAGAAAATCCAGTGTGCCTTCAAAGGATGAAGATTCGCCTTGGAGAGGTGGAAGAAAGGTGTTCTGCACTTAAAAAGAAAAAAAAATATGGGAAGAATTTGGCCTTCTGCTGGAGCAGAGGAGGACCCAGATACCAGTGGGGAGACGGGGGGATGGTGTGATGCCCACCCAAGAGGCAGTCCACAGTGCAAGCACCAGGGTGGCCTGCAGTACACTGGATGTGTGTGTGTGCATGTGCACTAATAGAGATGAGAGACAGGCCTTAGGGATGGGTCCCAACCCAGACTTCGATGGGATATGATACGTCCATGACCCATCTCTCCTGGACACCTCCAGGGGCTGGGAAAAGGAGATCATTGGGACCCTGTGTTGAAATGAGAAGATCCAGGCTGTGGGTGGGGCCTGCACCACTCCGGAACCCACGGGGAAGAACGTCCCCCCGCCCCACCTCCAGATGCCTTCAAGCTATGGGCCTGTATTCTCAGCTCAGGTTTCCTCGCCATCAGTTTCCCAAGCAGTGACCACCACCACGTTGAAGTTCTGAATGTAGACCCTTCACAAGGGCAAGAATCTCAAAGGCATTGGAGAAAACTCCCAGGCCACCTTGATGTGGAGACCTCAGGGAGCTGTTACTTGGTGCCATGTTCTTGTGAAAAACAGCAGATCTCCAGGTTGCTGGTCGCTGAGGGATGCTGGTCTGAGTCCCTGGGCCTGGCCTGAGTGCTCCCAAAGCCAGGACAAGTGTTACTGACCTGAGAGACTTTCGTTGCCAAGAAGAAAGCAGTATCTGAGAAGCAGGATCTTTCCTTGTTTCATCTAGTTTCTGGTGACTTCTGGGCATTCCTTGGCTTGTGGCTGCATTCCTCCAGTCTCTGCCTCCACCTTCACATGACCTCCCTGAGAGCCGCTTATGTCTCAGATCTCCTTCTTACAAGGACACCAATCCTTGGATTTCAGGTCTACCCTAATCGTGGGTGAGCACATCCCAAGATCCTTCACATTCATAGGTATTGGCACTTAGGAGTTGGATGTATGTTTTTGGGAGAACAGTATTCAACAGCCTGCAAGAGCGTTGGGTGAAGACTTCATCCCATGCTGCTAGAACAGCCCTGGGAGTTTGTTGACCACGGCCAGGATCGCCACAGTCAGCATGGCCAGTGCCTGTCCCGAAGCGACAGCTCATGAGCACACGTGCCTTGGCATCCCAACTGCTTGGGGACTTCATTGGTGCTAATGGCACTGTGGTGTAGCCGACCAGGAACAGTATCTCAGCCCTCAGGACTGCCACCCCAGGGAGCTGGGTTCAGGAAGGTGTGGCTGACACCATGAGCATGGAGAAGACCTGGGTGCTGGCCTGTCACCCATTCAAAGCTGATCGAATCCTTTCTAGCCTGCTGCCCTCCAAGCCCAGGAAGCCAGCCTGGAGGAGGTTCTCAGATGCTTCTCTGGGTCCTCCTCAGCCAGGGACACGGTAGGCAACAGAGAGATGCTTCGGTCTGCATGCTGCCAGAGAGGATGGTGACACGCGTCTTTCAGTCACCAGTGGAGATCACCAGGAGCATCAGCAGGAAGAGCCAGTGGGCCCACAAGCTTAGCAAGTTGATCAGGATAGGGTTATTTGGTGGATAGACCATGAGTGTCAGGGACCTGGGACTGGACACCACCCCAGAGGGCTCAGGGTGCTTTTGGAGGGAGGAAAGGAGAAAGACCTCTACTGAGGGAACAGCTGGCCGTGTGTGGTGGGCTGAGGTGACGTCACAGGGGCAGAGCTTTGCAGGGATTTTCAGATGATCCCACGGGGAGGTGTGGGGTGGTTGAGACCTAGGACCAAAGGGGCCCTCTAAGCAGTAGTGGGGCACATCCAGTATTTCCACCTTTCTGCATTGAGCAGAATCACTAGGGTCCTGGTTGTCCCTCTGGAGTGGGGTCCAGTCTCACCTGGAAGTCAACACCCAGCTGTCTCCACTCTGGCAGGGAAACATGCACTGTTCCTCTGACCACTGACCATTCTTGAGTGGTCAGCATGGCCTGTTCCGCCCCTAGGGACTGGCCTGGTCCAGCTGGGCTCAGCCTCAGGACTCAGTCAGTCTCCAGGTGTGAGCCCGCCCCACACTGTCGGTGCCCTTTGCAGGCCTCTCCTGAGACTTCTGGACACAATCTTGGGCCACCCACCAGCAAGCCTTGGCCTGGATGCTCATTCTAACCCATCCCAGAATAAACGGAAACTTCATGTGTTCATTGTTGCATTCACTGCACATGTATTTATTGGGTATTGCTTATGTATGGGTCCGGTAATAGGTGCTGAGAATATAGCAGAGTTGCTTGGATATCAGTCCTTTGCAAGGTGCTGGGAATATGAACCTGGACCCTGCTCTCCTGTGGCTTCCTGGTACCAAGAGGGCCCTGTCCTAGCTGGTGCAGGGAGTGCCGGGAAAGACCTGTGTTTTGAGACAGGACGGTTAAATGGAACCAGGTATGTTAGGGCGGGTGAGCACAGTTTATGCCATGCAGAGGAACACCGTGCACAGAAGTTCAGCTGGGTGGTGAGAGGGGACTTCAGAGAGATGAAGTCAGGTGAGCGAAGCATTCTTGTTGCAAGATGGTAAGTGTGGGGTTGCAAGATGGAGATGTCAGCGGGGGGCAACCAGTACAAGGCCTTGACAGCCAAGCAGTGGAATTCAGACCTTTATCCTGAGGGCAGTGGGGAACCATGCATGGAAAGATTCTGAGCTGGGAAGAACCCAGGCTCAGTCATGCTTCAGAACAGTCCTTTGTTGGGCAAAGAACAGGTGTGTGGGAGAGGTGAGAATGGAGGTCAGGTAACCAGCAAAGAGGCTTGATTGAATTTTGGGACGTCGGGGCTGAGGTTCAGGGCGGTTTAGGTGATAGAGTCTATTGGACTAGGTGAGGAAAGCCCTCTAGACCCGCAAGGGGTAATGACTGCAAGTTCCAGACGGAGCCGACTGGCCCAGAGAGGGGCATTGCGTTGCCTCGGGCCACAGGAAGTCGAGGGTCCCTACTCTGTTACCGTTACTGGGAGACAAACAGAAAAGTCTAAGGTGCCACCATGGAAGTCGTTCTCTGGGGGTCGTAACGTCCTGGACCCATGCCCTTCCCAGCATTTCCCAAGAAGCTGGCAGCTAAGCTTAGCCTACTTGGCACCGGGCTGTCGCAGTGAGAATGTCATGGAAAGATAGCCCTCATCCCTGGCTGGATAAACCAGAGAAAACAAACTCTGTCCTCCTAGGACAACCACCAACACCAGGCTCCAAGTAGCCTACTTCAACGACAGAGGTATTCAACCCCCCCTTACTCCTCTTTCCAGAGGCTCTGCATTCCCCACTCTGTGCCCCAAAGTCTCACGACTCCTGCTCTTCAGGGTCCCAAGGCTTCAGTAACCACTGTTTGAGGTTTTTGGGGGGTGTGTTTTTATTTTAAGAAGCCTTCACGCCTTCTGCGGAGCCAAAGTTGGGGCTTGA